GTTCACTTCTGTTGGGTGCAGCTGTAAGAGAATATATGAACACCCTCCTCCTCCTCATCCCTCACCATACTTAGCAGGAAGATATTTGTTAAAGACCTTGTGGGCCGGGGAGAAAAGAGGGAGAAAAAATTACACTAATTGGTGTGGTTGGTCATAGCCATATTGGCTATCCACACCAATAAGAGGGCATCTCAACCCATACACAAGCCCTCATTTCTTCCATACTTATCTGCCTGGGGTGCTATAGCAGAGAATTTCTACTTGAGTAGGAAGTTGTCTGGATGACTTGGGTTTTCCGAAGCTAAAGTTCTGAGATTCTGGCACCAGCGAAGCCTCTCTGACTCCAGGGGCAGTGTTCATGTAGGGGTCTTCCTGGGGATTTCCAGCCATTTTCCCTAGTGTGGGTCTCTGTCATTGATCCATACCCACAGGGCCTTCAGGATGGTCGCTGCCCTGATGCAGCTGGATCTGGGTTAACAGGGAGGAGCTGGAATTGCTTGGGACAATATCCACTGGAGCCACAGCTGACTTGCAAGGTCAGCCTGGAATGGCCGTCTGTGGGTAGATCCAGGGGACAAACTGTCATCTCAGTTGGGTTCTTTAAATACGAGAAACAGAAACTAACTGGATAACTGACTGGGAGCTTATTGGAAAGATGTGCAGGAGATCTTAGGCCGAAAGAAAAGCCAGGGACCAACTTGAAAATGATGGAACAGGGCAGTAACTAAGGTGTAGTCTCCTAGGGTGCACTGTCAGAATGAATCAGCTCCAACCGTCTTCAGGCTTTAGGTCTCTCTGCTAAAGATCAAATTCCCAGAAGAGAGTCGGATCGGCCAGCTTTGGTTTCATGCCTGCCCTTTGGCAAGGCAACTTTACTGGTAGCACTTAAGGGTAGAGGGTGGGAGTGGGGAGTGGAGAAAGTTATTTTATCAAAAGAAGTGCATGGATGATGGACAGACTAAATTCCAGATGTCCATTCCAGGGAGACTTCCCCAATGGCCTGCTTAGGGGGATGGCAGGGGCCAAAGGTAGGCTCAGCAACTCAGTACACAGCTGATTTCTAGAGAGTTCAGTATCAGAAAGTGTTTCATTGTAAAACTGGTGATATCCTCATTGAAGAAATTTGGAAATCACAGGGAAGTCTAGAAAAAATAATTTTTAAAAGGCATCTATGATTCTATTAGCCAGAGTTAACCGCAGCTAATTTTTCAGGGTGTGTCTCTCCTTTTTTTTTGAGACAGGATCTCACCCTGTTGCCCAGGCTGGAGTGCAGAGGTGCAATCATAACTCAATGTAGCCTAGAGCCTCTGGGCTCAAGTGATCCTCCCTCCTCAGTCTCCTCAGTAGCTGGGACCATAGGCTTGTGCCACCATACCTGGCTAATTTTTAAATATTTTTGTAGAAGATAGGGTCTCACTGTGTTGCCCAGGCTGGTCTCAAACTCCTGACCTCAAGCGATTCTATCCACCTCGGCCTCCCAAAGTGCTGGAATTACAGGTGTGAGCCACCACACCTAGCCTATGGATTCTTTTTTACAGAGTTGAGGCTACACTGTGTGCATATTTCATATTAAGCACTGTGTATTGACCTAACTGTTAGAAAAGTGTCTTTGTAACATTGGTCTAGTGACTAGACTTGAGCTGTGGCTGTGCTACCTGCTGGAAGAGGCAGAGGGGACCTTCTTTGGCTCATTATTTCACCAACACTGGGGACCAAGCAAGTGTTGCCCAACTTGGGAAAGTGCCAAGGCCTGCCTTTCATCCAGAGGAAGTTCTATCTGGACATCAGCCAAGGTGAATGGGAGCTTCCATGGACATAGTGCTGCATACGGAAGGCCCTAGTTCCATATTAGAATCCATATTAGAGTCCTTCTGATATGAATAGATCACATTTCCATCTCATTATTAAAGAAGACACTACCTTTATTTAGTCACTTAAAATGATAAGAATATACTTCATGATGAAGAGTAAAATCACTAGGAAGGGCCAGGAGTAGTGACTCACGCCTGTAATCCCAGCACTTTGGGAGGCCAAGGTGAGCAGATGGCTTGAGCCCAGGAGCTTGAGACCAGCCTGGGCAACATGGTGAGACCCCATTTCTACAAAAAATACAAAAGTTAGGCAGGCATGTTGGTGCATGGCTGTAGCCCCAGCTACTGGGGAGGCTGAGGTGGGAGACTCACCTAAGCTTAGGAGGTCAAGGCTGCAGAGAGCACACACCACTGCAGTCCAGCCTGGGTGACAGAGTAAGACCCCATCTCAAAAAAAAAAAAAAAAAATTCACTAGGAAGGTGGGATAATGGGAGAATCCTAGTTGAAATATAGCTATACCTATCTTAATAATGTGCCATGTATACACAGATGTGTGTATTTAGACACCTGAACTTGTGTATTTAATAATATTAAACTGAGAGCTTGCCTGCTTCAATCTTTGCTGACATTTGCTACGGGATATAATTCAAGGTGATATAAGAATTCTCTGTCACCTGGAGCTAGAGAAATCTGTACAACTCCTGCAATTAAATCTCAGGAAAGAGTAGGCCATGTTCCTATTAATAGGGTCCACCCCTCAGAATCGAATCACAGTGGGATCACTTTTGAAGAGGTCAGAATTTGTCCATAGAGGAGGATCATTCAACTTTGCTTTTTGACTCATTCCACGTGACTCAACGGGCCAGCCTCTCATTCTAATACCTCTAGGGACACTTGTTTGCTAAGACACATTATCTGCACAGAAAAGGTCCTCCTAAGTCAAGGCTGGGGAACATCGAGCCATTGGGAATGCCAGGCTTAGTCTAGTGACACCCAAGGGACTCCAGCTGAGGGGGCTCTCACTTCTCTATTACTCCTTCTATGAGCCTTTCATGGACTCCTTCACTCTCCTCATTTCTAGTTATTTTTCCCTGGGAGTCGGCTTCAGCCCTCTTTTTTCATTCTGAATTATCTTGCCTGCTTCCAGGGTTCCAACTACCTGTGGAATTGTGGCTTCCTAATTTATATCTCTAGCCCAGCCTTTCCTCAAATTCCAGACCCTCTTATCTACAGGATACCCCAGATTTCTACCTTAAAGTTGTCACTAGCACCACCTGCTCACCAAATCCCCAAACTTACTCTTCTCCCTGTGTTATTTTTATCTTGGTGGCACCAAGAGTCTGCCAAGCTTGAAAGCTGGAAGTCAGTACTGATTCCTCCCTCACTCCATCCTCACTCTGTTCACTAAATCCTGTTTAATTCACCCAGTTGGTCATTCAGTGAGTGTATTTCAAGCACCTGCTATGTGCCAGGCATTGTGTTAGGTATCTACCTTGAAGCAAAAATAGACAAGGTCCTTGCCCTCATGGCTTACAGTACAACTAGGGAAACAATGTCATGAAGGAAATGTGTCCTAAGTTATTAGTGTTTAGTCTGGGAGACAGGGAAGGCTTCCAGAAGAAAAGGGGAGATCTAAAGGGTGCCTTAAGAATTAAATGAATGAAAGTCATAGGCGGGGAGTTCAATTTCTAAGCAGACAGAACGTCCTGTGTATGAGCTCTGAATGAGGTGGAAGGAATGAGGCACGTCCTTCAAGGGACTAAGAAACGACCTCTGGAAAATGAGTGGTCTTCCAGGAAGGCCATCATGGCTGAGGGGTAATGAATTGCAGTAATACTGAGACGGGAGAGGAGAGTGGGGAAGTGGGAGAGGCCCCATTGCTCAGCACCTTGTAAAGATTTTGGTAATTTTTTTAAGAGGACAGAGGAGACTTTCAAGGTGGGTGGGATGCTGGGTGGGGAAGGTTGAGGAATGACAGATTTCTATATGAAAGTCACTCTGGCTACAATGTGGAAAGTGGATTAGATGGGGCCTGGGCAGAGGTAGGGGAAGGCGATCCCATTGGCTTCCTCCTTGCCATCCCCGTAGCCATGATCCCCAGTCCAGATTTTTGTTGTCTCTTCTTGCCTTGCAGCAGAAAACACCTCTACTACTGTCCCTAGCAACTTACGTTCAGTGTGGCTGTCTCACTTCTGCCAATAGAAAAGAAAACCGACAATCCTTCTTTGGGCTCAAAATTAAGTTCAAACTCCTTAGTCTGGCTACAGGTCCCTTCAAACCCAGCCCTTGTCTCCCTCACCAGTGTCACATCCAACCACTTTTCACCGATACCCTGTGCTCTAGTCCATACAAGGGAGATGCGAGAGCTGTACTGTAGTTTGAGGTGGAAGGACCAGAGTAGAGGCACCGAGAGCCAAATCTGAGGCTCAGTCAGAGGTCTAGAATATTAACTGAATAGAAAGTAAAGGAAACCGGCCGAAGTGGGGGTTTCAGGCAGTTGGCTTCCAGCACCTTCAGGGAGTTGGCTACGAGAGCGTCAAAGACCAATATTTGGGAAGCACTCAGGGACAAGGCATCTGGAGGCTTGGATGCAAGACCAAAGGTGTAGTCGCTGGGAGGTAGTTCCCCAGGACAGGCCCCCGAGCACTGACAGATGGGAGCTTAAGGACAGGACCCCCAACCAGTAGAGAACTGAGGTTCCCAGACAGCCATGACCACAGCTGGCAAAGAATGGGCAGGACTCAGAGACCTGTAACTCAGAAGGTCAAGGGCAATGGCTGACTTGAGGATGACTTGGTAGGAGGAGAACGATGAGAACCTTCTTTATATTCTACCTGTCTGGAGCCAGAATGAATTCTAGAACAAAAGGAGCAAGGCCAAGCTTCCAGTCAAGGCTAGAGCTAGAAGTGCGTGGAGAAAGGAGTGGGCAGCTCCTGCCTTCGCCTGCACCAAGTTCAACAAACACACAGTCATAGCCATGGCTGGTCCCCAGAGCACACACAAGGCAAGGACGTTAGTGGCCGCCCCATGCACCCCGGTGAGCTGTGCTCACTTGGGAGAACCATCCTCCTTGAAGGTGAGTGAAATCTCAACATGAGTATGGTTCTGAGAGTAGCCCTGTAACTCTGAGGAGGGCCTCTGGAGACCATAACTGTGTACAGTTCACATGGTAACCAGAAGACTATGACATACTTCAGAAGGCGGTGAGGTCACAGAACACAAGCTTTAAAGTAAGTGAATCATGTGTGCCTCATTTATTTTTAAAAGCAACTTCTGAGAAGGGCTTAGAACAAATTTTTTCCCTGAGTGCCATTTCCCACAGGTACTCACAGAACAATAAGGTGTGACCATAATGGCTGCACTGAGTTGTCTCTTGGACAGTGTCAGAAGGGACATAAAGAAGGTGGACAGAGAACTAAGGCAACTGAGATGCATCGACGAATTTAGCACGCGGTGCCTGTGTGACTTGTATATGCACCCCTACTGCTGCTGTGACTTGCACCCATATCCGTACTGCTTGTGCTACTCCAAGCGATCACGCTCTTGCGGCCTGTGTGATCTCTACCCATGTTGCCTGTGTGATTACAAGCTTTACTGTCTGCGACCATCGCTCAGAAGTTTGGAGAGGAAAGCCATCAGAGCCATAGAAGATGAGAAGCGAGAGCTTGCCAAGTAAAATAACTTATTTTTAGATTTTTTTAGTCGGTATATTAGCCTTATAAGTTGGAATAAGGAAAAATATGTGACAATCAATACTTGAACAAAGATTAAAAGGGTTCAGGATAATGACCCTGGTGACTTAGGAAAGATTTAAGGAAAGAAGAGTAAATGAGTCCATGATGGGAATTGTTGGGTTCTCAAAAGACAATGTAATGATGTCGATTGGCAAGGTCGTTGGTGGTTTATAGCAAGAATGCCAGTATGATAAATAATGCGGCTTTAATGAAGGGAAGAAACGGGGTGTCATTAAAAAGCCATTGGAAGCAGCAAACTAAACATTTTTCCTGGTTATGAGTAAAGTGATTTGAGTATATTTGGACTTACAGAAATGACTATAGGAGAAGTAATAATAATTGATCAAATCCTTAATGTGTGCCAGAGGCTTTACAAGCAGGAGAGCAAATTGAACAATAGAGGCATTCCCTTGGTCTTGTGGGAATATCATTCTCCTATCCCCCCACTCCAGACAAAGACTTACCTTGTGTCTGGAATTAGGTCTATCATGTTGGTCTCCCCTCTCACTCTAGCAAAGGTCTTGCAAATAAACTATGGACTGAGTTGTAGCTTTCAGGATAGACTTGAAAGGCTTTTTAATTGAATTGGGTAATTAAAAAGAGTCAGTTTAAAAAAAATTTGTTTTAGATTATGTTTTCTTTTTACCTGGAGAAGCCTTTCCTTTTCTAACTTTTTGCATATGCCATTTAGTCTGTTACTGTTGATGAAGAAGATGGTTCAAAGTGCTGTCCCTGGTTAAAGAAATAATACATTCATACACTGAAATAATAAGTAAACGTAGAAAGGATTGATGAAACATTTTACATATTGATGTATTAAGTCAAACAAGCAAAGTGCAGAAAAACTGATAGAAGATAGATAGATAGATAGATAGATAGATAGATAGATAGATAGATAGATAGATACATAGATACATAGAGTCTCTTGATAACAGTGACAGTGATGTTTCTTTGGAAAAAGCAATAGGAGGCCAGGTGCAGTGGCTCATGCCTGTAATCCCAGCACTTTGGGAGGCCGAGGCGGGCAGATCACCTGAGGCCAAGAGTTTGAGACCAGCCTGGCTAACATGGTGAAACCCCATCTCTACTAAATACAAAAAAAAAAAAAAAAAAAAAAAAATTAGCCAAGCATAGTAGCAGGTGCCTGTAATCCCAGCTACTTGTGAGGCTGAGGCAGGAGAATCGCTTGAACCCAGGAGGCAGAGGTTGCAGTGAGCCAAGATCGCGCCACTGCACTCCAGTCCGGGTGACAAAGCGAGACTCTGTTTCAAAAGAAAAAAAAAAAAAGGATAATTATTGTCTAGGTCACCAGCTACCAATGGTCATGAATGAACCTCCTTCATAGCCTGGGAGCTTTCACCTGTAAATTCATCTACACTCTTTGAACCAATGTTTGTTTTCATTTCTTAGGGTATCAAGTTACATAAATTGCTAACACTTGAGGCAGGGGCTCTTTTTAAAATATTTGGTCCAAGTTAAGGTTTCCTTGTGAGCAGATCAGTATCCAGTCTCCTCCTACTTTTGGATACTTGAATACCCTTGTCCAGGTCTTTCCAGCCTCTGTCTCCTGGCTGCTCTCCTATCCCCAGACTCTACCAATTAAAGTGCCCTCTGTCCTGTGCCATCTACTCTCTTTATGCCTCTTTCAGGAGCCTTGTTTCTTGGCATGCAGTAGAAACAGCTTCAAGCTTAATCTCGGCAGTGTAGTTTAGGCAAGAGGTAATGCTTTCTCTTGTTTGTGATGCTCTTCCTGACAGCCTCTGGGTCTTTGCCTACTTTTTCTGTGCCTGCAGGCAGTATATGAAGCTGGTGATGTCTTTACATTAATTCCTGGATCTCGGAAATGATAACTCCAAGTCCATTTTAGAAATGACCTCAGGCTTGTCCTCTTTATCTCTTCCAATTCATACCACCTTGTGAAATGTCTATGCTCCATTTCTGACAACCTGACATTTCACTCTCCAAAAGGGCTTAGTGTCGTTTGCAAACCTAAATATTCAATTTTCCTGAATATGGGTGAATATGGGTGAAAATGTTAAACCCTGATTCTAGCCTCAGTCCCAGAAGGCCCCCACTGTAGTATTTTTTCTTCTAGTGCAATGCCATTTATTCTTATCTCTAAGCTAGCGCCTGATCCATAACTAAATAGATATAGAAATACCGTGTTGATTCAATTTTTTAAAACAATCTTTGGTGTGAAAGCTTGCCCAAGGCTTTTCGAGTTTAGAATTCATATTCACATGACCTTCCTCCCTTTTAAAGAATGCAAGGGGGTTGGTTAGTTACGACATATCCTTTCAGATGGCAGGCTGTGTTGTCCAGAAGGTTCTTTGCCCAATGTGAAGTGAAGACTCTCTGGTCTGTAGTTGTGTTGGTCCCCTTGAAACTGTTTTTCTGGGTCAGAGTCAATCTGCTGTGTCTCTGGGTCCTCCTTTAATAACTGGTAAAAAGCCTCAGCCAACAGCTTCTTAATTCATCCCACAGATTACTTGAGCACTCCTGACTATAATAATCAGTTATTTGATTGATGTATGTGTGGTGTTTTCTTAGACTGGGCATAGAAAATCCAGTCTAAGCTGGGTGCACTGGTTCACACCTGTAATCCCAGCACTTTGGGAGGCTGTAATGGGAGAATTGCTAAAGTCTGGTAGTTCGAGACCAGCCTGAGCAACACAGGGAGACCCCATCTCTACAAAAAATAAAAATTAAAAAAATTAGCCAAGCGTGGTGGCACATGTTTGTGGTCCACAGTACTCAGGAGGCTGAGATGGGAGGATTGCTTGAGCCTGGAAGGTCAGGACTGCAGTCAGCCGTGATTATGGCACTGCACTCCAGCCTAGGCAATAGAAAGAGACCCTTTTTCAAAGAAAGAAAGAGAGAGAGAGAGAGAAAGAAAGAAAGAAAGAAAGAAAGAAAGAAAGAAAGAAAGAGAGAGAAAGAAAGAAAGAAAGAAAGAAAGCAAGCAAGAAAGAAGGAAGGAAGGAAAGAAAAAGAAAGAAAAAGAAAGAAAGAAAGAAAAGAAAGAAAGAAAGAAAGAAAGAAAGAAAGAAAGAAAGAAAGAAAGAGAGAGAGAGAGGGAGGGAGGGAGGAAGGGAAGGAAGGAAGGAAGGAAGGAAGGAAGGAAGGAAGGAAGGAAGGAAGGAAGGAAGGAAGGAAATCCAATCCATTTCCATCCTTTATTGGGCAGCTGCTCCAGAAGACACCATATTGGCAGTGTCTTCCTTAGTAGAGACCCAAGTAAGCACCTTTGTTTCTTTAGCTTCTTTGATATCCTCTTTTCCTCCCCTAGAGGCAGGCAGTGCCCCTGTCTCTTCCTCCCTCTTCCGGATTTAGAGGGGCTGAGGGGACTGCATTGGTTTCCTTTGTGGGAAGCCATGCCACCAGCCTAATTTAGGTTGTACCCGATTCACCACCACATTTCATGGGCTTCCCTACCCTCTGTCTTAAAGCTGGAGAAACAAAACCCAGGCCCTCCTCAATCCTGCCCTAGGAGTTTATTATCTAATTCATGGGTGCCCTGTGTAGCCAGGACACCAGGCAGTCCTCGGGAGCAAAAGAACCTTGATATACAGCTGTACTCTTTACCGGTACCTAGAAACGAATCCTGAGACCGTGTTTCTGTCCACGTACCCAAGTGTCTGTGGCTGGCACGAATCTCAGTGAAAAATTCCCTTGAAATCCCCACACCAAGGGCACTCTCAAAACTTCAAAAACCTGCCTCCTCATTTCTTGGTTCCCTCTTCATGCTCTGAGGATGAGGTTTTCACTGAATCCACTCTTGCTTGGTGAGACTGATGAGTCAGGCCTCATGGTGAGCTCTTTGTGGGTTTAGAGGTGTCTTGCCCAGGTCTAAGCCCTCAGAGAAAGCTTTCTAGTCTCCCTCATTCTCTAACCCAGAGGTCGAAGTATAAGTGAGCCCTATGGGGCTTTCTGGCTGGTGCAAGGCTGGCTCTTCCACTCCCACTGAGGGGAGCTCTCCCTTGTTTCCTTCTGTGTCCTCTGCAGAAGTGGAAGTGAGTTGGGCCTTTGCCTGCCTCTCATCATAGACTCTTCACATCCATACTTCTCACAGCTCAGTCACCCCTTGGCTGCAGGGGTAAAAGTCGCTTCCCATCTAGGCCAAATGCATTGCTATGATTTGGTTTGACCTTGTTGTTTAATGATATAAGACTTAAAGCTTCAGAGTTAGGGTAAGTCCATGTAAGGTGGGGCCTGGTGCAGCTTGATAAAGAAGACTTACACTTTATTGAGTGAAACTGTTCCTAGCACTTCATGTTCATTTAAGCCTTGTAACATGGGTGACATATTGGGTGATATTATCTTGGTCATCTTACAGACAATGAAACAGATTCAGGGGCCATGTTCTTGATCACTAGGTGGTGGCAGAGCCAAGAGTTGAAGCTGTGTGTGCCTGAGTCTGGAATCTGTGAGCCTAATCTCTAGTCAGTGGTTCTCAATGTGTGGCCCCTGAAGCTGATTAGTAGCATTACCTGCAGCATGTTAGAAATGCAGATTCTCAGATCCACCCTAGACCTGCTAGTTCTGAAACCTCTGAAACTCTAGGGGTGGGATCCAGCCACCTGTGTTTTTTTGTTGCTACTGTTGTTTTGTTTTGTTTTTCTGAGATGGAGTCTTGCTCTGCCGCCCAGGCTGGAGTACAGTGGTGTGATCTCGGCTCACTGCAACTTCTGCCTCCTGGGTTCAAGCGATTCTCCTTTCTCGGCCTCCTGAGTAACTGGGACTAGAGGTGCGGACAACCACGCCCAGCTAATCAGCCACCTGTGTTTTAACAAACCCTGCAGGAGAGTCAGATGCACTTGTGCCATGCTGCCTGGCTCCCTGCTGAGTAACATTGTCCTCAGTATCAACCCGAAAGCCTGGAGAAGAGAGAAAAGGCTGGAAAATAAGAGAAAGGGGGAAGAAAGGAGAAGAGAAAGAAAAAGATGTGTTGGAAAGAGAAGGATCAAGTTTAAATGGGACTTTGGGATGGGGCTAAATTCAGGAGAAAAAGCAAAGTACTCCAACGAAGCCTAGAGGAAGGCCTGCCCCACCTGGTTCCCTGGTAGAGGTAGATATTTTTGATATCTTCATTACTTTACTCATGACCAGGCTGAATCTGATTTATATATTTGAGAAGATGGCTGGGTATGCAGCTGGTCATTGCTGTGGGCAGCATGTTTCATATTTGGGAGTCTGGTTGTACATCCAGGTGAAATTCAGCATTAGCAGGGAGGAAAGGAGGCCGCACAGAGCAGCAGACACAGGCACTGGCTGTCTGCTAGCTTTTCCCAGCCTTCCCAAGAGGCTTCTGCAAAGGAGCTGATTTCCCTACGTTTACTGAGGCTAAGCTTCGCCCCCATGACAACAAGTATAGGAGGCAAACTCCCTTTGCGCAGAACCCCATAGAGCCATGGAAAATTCCAGGTGGGGTGATGGGGACATCACCAGGCAGGAGTCAAATTGCAAGTTCAGAGTTGAGTCTGATGAGTAAAATGTGGCTTCTGCAAGTTTCCCCTAAACCAACACATCTTCCCTGATAACCACTGACTTAGAAGCAAGAAGAAAAGGAAGCATGATCTGGCCAAGACTTTTTGGGTGACTTCCTGAAGACATTTGTGAGACTCTTGTGCAGCTGTCGCAGAGCCACAGGAATCAACGTGACAAGAATAGAGGAAAAAAAGGAACCCAAGCAACAAAATACATGAAATTGTGCCCTGGGATCCAGGTTACTTAGAGGAGATGAATCTGGGCACTGACTTGGCTTATAGACTTATAGACCTGGCTCCCAGATCCAGCTTCTGTGGAGGTCAAGAGGGCTTTGCCAAAACCAGCTATGGCCAGAGCCGGGGCCACTAGCAAGGACTCCTAGCTGGGGTCCTTGGCCCTCCTTTAAGAGGCCTGGCTGCATCGTCCTGGTGGGATTTGATGTTTCTCGTCTCATATGAGAAGATCTGAGCTGAACAGAAGTTTGATTCTCAGACCATGCACACACCGTGGGAGAGTCTTGAAAGGCCCAGAGAGTGCCCGTCTTGCTCTGTGCTTCCCTTTGGCCTTGGCTGCTCTGGCTTTAAGCCTGTAATCCATCCAGAGAGGGTACCGTGCCTGGAGTTTGGGTTGGTTCTCTGCATCTTTGTGGGCTATTTTCTGCCCATCCAGCAAGATAGAGTGCTTGTTCTCCTGCTTACCTCACAAAGATAGATTTCAAAGAGTCTAAAATTCTCCTACTTTCTCCTTAGTGTGGCATAGGGTACCCTGGCACAACCAGGGCAAGAAATATAATCATGCCTCATGCCACCCCCAGGTTCCATGGGGCAAGAGGTAGAAATGGGGCTGAGGTCGGATGTGGTGGCTCACACCTGTAATCCCAGCACTTTGGGAGGCTGAGGCAGGCAGATCACAAGGTCAGGAGATTGAGACCATCCTGGCTAACATGGTGAAACCCCCTTCTCTACTAAAAAAAAAGAAGCCAGGCATGGTGGTGGGCACCTGTACTCCCAGCTACTCAGGAGGCTGAGGCAGGAGAATGGTGTGAACCCGGGAGGTGGAAGCTTGCAGCGAGCCAATATCACGCCACTGCACTCCAGTATGAGCAACAGAGCGAGACTCCATCTCAAAAAAAAAAAGAAAAAAAAAAAGAAAAGAAAAGAAATGGGACTGAATACAGTCCTCTGGCTGTATTACACAAGTTGTTTCTGTTTGCCTCAGTGTCTTCTGGGACTGAGTTCTACTTGACCATTTTATAATTAGCCACTAAGAGTCTTGATTTGTAACTTTCAGTACAAGGTAGTGAACACTCAAACTGCTAATCTAATGATGTTAGGGCTCAAGTGGAAAATACAGATGAAAATCAGTATGTATAGCATGATTTCATAAGAACACATACAAAACTCTCTCTTTCTGCATGTATATAGAACTACACACACACACACACACACACACACAAAGTCAAACACCAAAATGCTAAGAGTTATATGAGATTATAGGTATTTTTTAAAATAGTCCATATGTTTACTTATCTGTATCTTGAGTCTTCTACAATGAACTTGTATAACTTATGTAACAAAAAGAAGTAACTGCATAAACAAAATTTAACATACAAAAGTGATATGGTGATAATTACATCTGCATCACAGTTATTATTGTGAAGATTAAATGAAATATGCCTTTAACATGCTTAGCACTTTCCACAGCACACTAAAAAAAAAAAAAGACAAAAACTTAACATCCTATGTGCCAAGCATTATTGTAAATATTTTCTTGCATTAACTAATTTAAGCCTCACAGCAACCCAATGATGTAGACTATTTTTATTGCCCCAGTTTTACAGATGAGGAAACTGAGGCACAGAGAAGTAAGTTATCCACATGGCAGAGCCAAGCTTTAAACCTAGGTACACCAGTTCCAGAGTCTGTTCTTAGGCACTTTGCTTTACTACCTCTTGACGGATCATAACTGATCAATTAGTGTGAGCTGCTGTTATTGTTTTTATTAAGGATTTACACAATAGAACTACTGAATAGCAAAAGGTAGCTCTATAGGAGCCATGGTAGCTCTGCAGTGAGAACAGAGGAGAGCACTGATATGTAGCATTTTCCAATTTCCATGGTGTAAATATCCTCATCACTACTATGATTGATTTCAAGCTATCAGCGTGCAGTACTAAATGGGGAGTCGGGAAGAGATGTGCACTATGAGCTCTTGCTAGCTGATGCGATCCTGATTCAGGACACCACTGGCAGGCTGTTCTGTATCTGATCAACATGGCCCCACCCAGCTGACTGCATTTCTGCTGGTGCCAGCTGTCCAGAGCCTAGAGTGACTTCCCAGCCTGGAGGAGCCAGGCCCTGCTGGGCAGAGCCAGGCCAGGGCTCTCCTGCCATCCTTGTTTGATTGAGCTTTCAGGCTGTCTCTGTGCAATTGCCAGAGGTAGCACCTGTCCTATGAACCAGTAGGGCTGGGTTCTAAAGTTGACAGCCATCTCTAAAATGCAGATTTTAAATGGTATCTTAATAGTTACATCCCATTTTTAAATCTGTATAAATACAAAATATAATTTATATATATAATTTAATTATAACTATATACACAATTTAATTATAGTAATAATGAGAGTGATAATAATTAAGCAGGATTTATAATGTACCAAGCACAGTGCTAAGTAAAATATCATAATCTCATCTAATCCTCCAATAGCCCTATATGATGCAGGCATTAATATAATTATTATCTCCATTTTGCAGATGAGGAAACTGAGGCACAGAGGGGTTAAGGAACCTACCCAAGGATGCATAACTAATAAAAGGAGGAGCTGGTATTTAAACACGAGAGAAAGATTTGGAAGGGCAGGCAGCATGCATTCATTGTGAATAGCGGTGTACTTGTGGGGCAGTGTGATTCACATGGGTGGACCACACTTTTTACTTCATGCATTTGTGTAAAGTTTATTTTCACAGTGGCTAGTGTTAACTTTGGCTATTTCAAAAGCTAGAAATCAAAATATTGCTTCTCAAGCTGTGTCTGGATTCTGAGGTCTGAGCTCTCTCCCACCCTATCCCTTTTCTCAATTCCAGACTGAGAAGAACAACAAATAGAATTCTGGCTTCCTCCTGCTGTAGCAGTAACATTTTAGGATCAGTGAATGTATGCGGTTTTGAACCTGATCAAGTCAAAGTTCGAGTGAAGGATGGAAAGGTATGTGTGTCGGCTGAGCGGGAGAACAGGTACGACTGCCTCGGATCGAAAAAGTACAGCTACATGAACATCTGCAAAGAGTTCAGCTTGCCGCCCTGTGTGGATGAGAAGGATGTAACATACTCCTACGGGCTCGGCAGTTGCGTCAAGATCGAGTCTCCTTGCTACCCTTGCACTTCTCCCTGCAACCCTTGCAACCCCTGCAACCCGTGCAGCCCCTGCAACCCCTGTAGCCCCTGCAGCCCCTGCAACCCATGTGACCCTTGCAACCCGTGTTATCCCTGTGGAAGCCGATTTTCCTGTAGGAAGATGATTTTGTAAAGTGCACATAGGAACCCATTACTTAATAGAAGTCAGCTACTCCACCCAGGCAGCTCTCTCAATGTTTCTCCTCTCCTTCCCGTGGCCCCTGTTGTTCAAGTAGGTAGGAAACTGAATACATAATTGCAATCTGCTGGTGTTGTGTGAAAGTCTTTTGGTTAAACCCACTGCAGGAGCCCTGCAGAGTTAGTGAACACTGGAATAATTAGTGGATGGGAATAGAACGATGATATATGGTGAGACCCACCCTCCCACTCCCTCCTCCATACCCAACTACCTCCAAACTCTAGGAGAAGACACTTTTCTGGTGGGCATCCCCAGACATTGTTTTCCAGATGATCCAGTGAAATGGCCTAGCCCAGAAACCAAATGGTCAAAGCAGAAACAGATTAACTAGAGTTGAAGGCAAGCACATTTTCAAAGCACTGCAGTAGGGAGTCCTGGAAAGAGACTCCTCAAGCACAATGGGGTTGTGGTTTTACTGGACAATGATCAGAATACAAAAAGTATGGGGTGGTAGGTGGGATGAGGGGCACGTTTGCTGGCCAAGGCGGGGTGGCCATACAGCTTGTCATTTTTCAACATTCCTGTGGTTTGGGGAATTGGCCAGCTCTGGTTAGCATATGCATGCTAAACAAAACGTTTTAAAAAAAAAAAAAAAAAAAAGCAAAACTGAAACTAAACAAACCAGCTTTGGTTTGCAACCTGCTTGAGATTTATTACAACTATCTCTTTTTCTGTTTTTTTTTTTTCTTTTTCTTTTTTCTTTTTTTTTTTTTTTTTTTGACCGAGTCTTGCTCTGTCCTCCAGACTGGAGTGCAGTGGTACAATCTCAGCTCAATACAACTTCTGCCTCCCAGGTTCAAGCGATTATTCTGTCTCAGCCTCCTGAATAGCTGGGATTACAGGCGTGCAGCACCATGCTTGGCTAATTTTTTTGTATTTTTAGTAGAGACAGGGTTTCACACTGTTGGCCAGGCTGGTCTCGAACTCCTGACCTCAGGGGATCCACTGCTTTGGCCTCCCAAAGTGTTGGGATTACAGGCATGGGCCATCGTGCCCGGCCTCTTTTCTTTTCTTTTTTTTTTAGACAGGGTCTTGATCAGTCACGAAGTCTGGAGTGCAGTGGTACAATCATGGCTTACTGCAGCCTTGATCTCCTGGGCTCCAATGATCCTCCCACCTCAGCCTCCTGTGTAGCTGGGACTACAGATGCATGTTATCAAGGCAGGCTAAGTTTTGTATTTTTGGTGGAGACAAGATTTTGCCCTGCTGCCCAAGCTGGTCTTAAACTCCTCAGCTCAAGAAATCCACTTGCTTCGGCCTCACAAAATGCTGGGATTACAGGTGTGAATCACTGCACCTGGCCTGTCTCCTTTTCTTAATTTCTGAAACTGCTTTTAGACACAGAAGCTCAATTCAAAGGTCAGGAGTGGAAAAGTACAGCTTTCACAAAACGATAGCGTAAGTCACCTGAACTTGGATCTGCCTGGAGGACACAGTCCATAAGCCAGGGTTCTTTATTACCAGGATTGAAATAAGTGTAAAGAAAGTACGAGATGATGGGGAAGAATCAGAATGAGGATACTGGCTGGTTTCCAACCTGACTCTCAGAGGGAACATAAAACCCTCCAGTTTGCACAGTAAGTCTCTTCCTGAGTTTCAGCGGCATGTGGGTGACAGCAGTAGATCTCAGCATTGGCTCCACATGGGGATCACTTGGGGTGCTTTAAACATATGGATGCCAAGCAAAACATACAAAAAAGAAAAAACTAAAACTAAAAACTAAAAAAGGCAAAAATTAAAACAAAAGGCAGATGTCTATGTCCTTTCTCCAGAGAACCTAATGTAATATAGGTGAGATGCAACCTGGGCATTGTGACTTTTAAAAGCTTCCCAGGTGATTTAAGAATGCAGCTAAGGTTGAGAAGCTCTGGATGGGATATTAAAGCTATCCCAGCCTTTTATTTTAAAAACTTCCTTTAGGCCAGGCACGGTGGCTCTCCTCTGTAATCCCAGCACTTTAGGAGGCTGAGGGGAGAAGATCGCTTGAGCCCAGGAGCTGGAGACCAATCTGGGGAACATAGCAAGACCTCATCTCTACTAAAACTTTATTTATTTGTTTTTATTTTTTGAGACGGAGTCTTGCTCTGTTGCTCAAGCTGGAGTGCAGTAGTGCAGTCTCGGCTCACTGCAACCTCCGTTTCCCGGGTTCAAGCGATTATCCTGCCTCAGCCTCCTGAGTAGCTGGGATTACAGGCATGCACCACCACGCCCAGCTAATTTTTTGTATTTTTAGTACAGATGGGGTTTCACCATGTTGGCCAGGCTGGTCGCTAACTCCTGACCTCATGATCCACCCGCCTTGGCCTCCCAAAGTGCTGGGATTATAGGCGTGAGCCACTGCGCCTGGCCTCTACTAAAAATTAAAAAAAATAGTTAGGCGTGATGGCATATGCTTGTGGTCCTAGCTACTTGAGAGGCTGAGGCAGGAGGATCACTTGAAGCCTTGGATATCAAGGATGCAGTGAGCTATGATCATGCTACTGCACTCCAGCTTGGGCAACAGAGCAAGACCTTGTCTTAAAACAAACAAAAATTCACAAACAAAAAGCTTCCTTCAAGTTTAAGGCTGAAGAATACTGATGGTGGTAACAGACATATTTTGTTTTCAATTAAGGGAAGTAATGGCCCTCTAACAGAAGTGGTGAATAAAACATAATGAACATTTCAAAAATTTACCTGTATAAATATCACGCCATGTTTTGAATATATGTTTATAAATATCCTATTTTCTAAGGTATAAATTTTTGGAAAATGAATTTGAAGAAATTTCACCCTAGAGAGTCAATGGGATGTCACTGGGGTCTTTTGGCAGCCACCACTACTTCTTAAATGTGGAAAATAAACACTAAAAACATATTTTTACAAACTTGAAGCATTTATCAATAATTTTATTTTGTCTTATATAAAGCCACTGAGGTCCTAACCCGTTGGATAAGCAGGAACTTCTGTCCTCTGGTGGGTGCCATTCTAGGACACTCTTAGGAACAGTTCATTCTTTGATTCACTCACACACTGACCCACCCTCCTTTTTGTTGGTCCCGCAGCTCATCCATTCATCCATCAACCTGCCAGCCAGACTTTATCATTTTGAATGCCAGATACTGTGCTCTGCAACAGGGATGGAGAGAGAAAGCACCCTTTTCACAAATGCCTCACATTAGATTCAAGGAGGGATGCTATAAAGGGGCTCAGGGTGGAGGGTGGAGAGAGCCAAAGAAACTGAATGTGCAAGAACTAGAGAGGACAAAGGGGCCTTCCAGACTGGCCCTGGGCATTCCCAAGGTTTATTGTCGACATCCCTGTCTCGAAGGAAGCTTCAGGTAAACCTGAGTCTGACCTGCAGGGAATTGGTGGCCTTGGTGTGCTCACCACCCCTAATAGGGAAAGACTTGCTAGAAAGACAAGGATGTATCTACTGAGTCCACTGCTCTGAGTAATTCAGAGTGCCAGGAGCTTCTATATTTTAAGGCAAGACTAAGCTCCGTGATATACTGTCAGCGCACTTGACAGTGTGGAATCAAGAAGTAAATCATACAGTGTGGGAGGGAAGTGCCCTCCAATCTCAGAGAAGGTGTGGGGAGGGGAAGCAGGCCTGAGTGGGAGGCAGAGCCTGGCTGTGGGCCCTGTCTGAGGCCTGCAGGAAAGGCACAGAGCAGGGCTTAGTCCATGAACTAACTGGGTTCCTGGGGATGCGGAGGAAGTTGATACAAAGGAGAAGAAAGAAGAAACATTTGCTGCTTTCAAAATTGCCCTTGGCTGGTCGGATGAACCCCAGGGCTCCGACAGCTCGGCTGTGGCCTTTAATGCAATTTTGTAGGTCCGGGTCCAGTCGTAAACACCCGACTCCATCTACCTGGGTAGGAGATGGGAATGGGGGTGACTCTTGAAGGGGCAGAAGAGAGAAATCAGCCCACATGGCAACTGAAAGACGAGAGGCTCTGAGCTACTTCACTGCCCAGCACATGTGTGATGAATGAGCATATAAATTAGGCAAATGTGCCACCTTCTAATAAATGTGTTTGGTAATACTGTAGAACTAAGGGCAATGAAGATAATGATACTTCTTTACTATTATTATTATTATTTTTGAAACAGGGTCTTGCTCTGTCACCCAGGCTGAAGTGCAGTGGCACAATCTTGGCTCACTGCAGCCTCAAATTCTGGGCTCAAGCAATCCTCCCACCTCAGCCTCCTAAGTAGCTGGGACTACAGGCACATGCCACCATGCCTGGCAAATTTTATCTATTATTTTGTAGAGATGGGGTCTTGATACATTGCCCAGACTGTCCTCGAACTCCTGGCTTCAAATGATCCTCCCACCTCAGCCTCTCAAAGTGCTGGTATTACACCTGTGAGCCACCACACCTGACCTGACCGTTACACTTCTTAGTGTTCATGGAATAGATTTTAGAGCCAAAGATCTATTTTACCACGTTAGGAATTTAAAATTTCTTGGGTATAGGACCAGGGAGAATCCATATCCAATGACTATCTTGTATTATTTGATTTCTTTTAAAGCTCATGTAGTGAATTATTTTATAAAATGATATTGTTGGGACGGGCATTGTGGCTCACGCCTGTAATCCCAGAACTTTGGGAGGTTGAAGTGGGTGGATCACCTGAAGTCAGGAGTTCGAGACCAGCCTGGCCAACATGGAGAAACCCCGTCTCTGCTAAAAATACAAAAATTAGCTGGGTGTGGTGGTGGGTACCTGTCATCCCAGCTATTTGGGAGGCTGAGGCAGAAGCTCTTGAACCTGGCAGGCGGAGGTTGCAGTGAGCCGAGATCACGCCGTTGCACTCCAGCCTGGGCCACAAGAGTGAGACTTCATCTCAAAAAAAAGAGAAGAAAATAAAATGATATTATGAAAGATCCTCAGGTGACTGTTCTTAAGTCATTGTAAATAGTTTTATTTAGTGAGTTCTTCATGTCCCCAGAACTAATGGAATAAGTAAGTTTTAAAATTATTTCAACTTCTCTTCCGTGCACAAAAATTCCTTCTTCTCTCTCTGTCTCTATCTCTGTCCCTCTCTGTTGCTTTCTTTATCTCACTTTGTCTTCCTCTCC